TTTTTTAAGTATAAATGTCTTTTAATACATTCAAATATATAGTTTTTGTCGCAAATGGATCTTGGAGTACGTGGCATTAAAAACCCTTGGTCTATCTTTTAATTGTTTGTCACATCTTTTGAGTATGTCTTATTAACATGGATCACCTGTTTCTATAAAAGTGTTGGTGTTTATTCCACACGAGTATTGTGCCTGATGAAGACCTGATGGTCGAAACATTGCGCTGTCAATCAAATTTGTTTGGAGCAGCTATTTTCAGTATGCAGACTTCACGCTTCTTTTTTCTAAACCCCTGGTTTAATCATATAAATTTACTTCCTAAGCCATGGCAGTTGAAGCGACACTCCTGTACATTACCCATACACATCCCATTCTACACTTCCCTTGTCCCTTTTGTGTTTGTTTATTAAATATTTTGGCTAACTTGAATACACTGTTAGCTTGCAAGAAAATTCTGTCCGGACCTGCTGATCACTTATGAATATGTAAGTATATGGCCACATCCACACAGCAGCAGAATATGGTTGTCAATCCTCTATTTGAGTCCTTAATAGGGTTACGTTCACACACAGTATGGATATTTACAAGAGTGATAACACATTCTATAACCAAACTCACACCCAAAAATTTACAACCGCATTCTGAGGGGTTTCCATGTGTGGTTTTGATAACTTACGGAGATATGAGCTGTGTGTCATCTGAAGGTTTTAGATACAGTCACTGTTCTCCACCAGATGTGCTCCCATCAGTTTTGTGTTTTACGTGCGAGCGGCATGACTCAAATGCTCCCTTCACCCAGATATAAACGCTTTTCAGTTTTATGGATGTTTGCATCTGATATTAATTTGGTCACTATTGCTATGGTTAGAATATTGCACGTTGATACAGACAGTATTCAAGACGCTACTGTAAGTTGCTGTGTTAATGGGACATTTCGACAGTGTGAACGTAGCCTTATAAAGTCCACGTTGCTGTGTGTCATTCATTGTTGCCCTCCAGAGCCAATCGCACAATAGGAGGAGACGCTAAGTGGAGGTTCAAAGCACAACTGACAACGTGATAAGGAACAACTGAGGCTAATAGCACCTCTGCCATGGACACACAAGGAACAACGTAGCCAGATCGCCACAACAATCCCACCTGACCCCGCAGAACTAGCACTCCACGGACACAAATAGTTTCGGGGTTTAAAATAAAATGCTTAAAAAATTCCTCCATCTGCCTCGGGTATAGGCTATGTTTCTGTGGGGGTGTGTCAGCGCTTAGAGTTGTCGGCATTCCCATCAGGAAGATTCATAGGACCAAAAGGAGTGTATCACAGCAGGTCTGGTGCAGATTAATGTGGAAAGCAGACTAACAGCACAAAGATAATGCAGGCCAATAAAAAGACTCGCACACGCACGCGGAGCACAGGAGTGAAGCAGGGGCTAACGGCAGAACAGCTCGGGGTCGTTAAGCATCATTAGCGGGACATTTGTTCACACACATTTGTCAGGAAGCGTCCTGCTAAGCAGGGTGTGTGTTCTCCTCAAGGAGTGTGTACTGGACAGAGGCAAGCAGGCAGGAAATGAAGTTACTGCCACGTGTGTGTGTAATCTACTGCATGATGGAGCAGATCTGTCCCTCGTACGAGACGTCACCGTGTTTGATTAACAACAGGACTCATCCCAGCCGGAAAACAAGAGAAGCGTGTAAACTGCATCTGTGATTCGCATGCATTTACAGTTCCAGCATATTCAGTAGTTTCAAGTACAGGAGCACACAAACACACTCACACAAGTGCACACACAAGCGAAAATGCAGCACGGCTACAATCAGGAAAAAGTTTATCTGAAGCTCAAGAGACCACAAAAGCCATAGAAAGTGGGGAAAAGCAGTGCTACATATTGATTGAATTATGAGAGGTTAAACCTCCTTACTCTTGATGATTTAAACAGACTGAAATAACATTGGGGAAACTGCACACTGAAGCAGTTCATTTATGACTACTCCAGGGTTAAAGAGTTCTGTCTAGAACACATTTACCACTAATTTTATATTTAAAGGAATAGTCCACTCAAAAATTGTAACGTTTATATAGCCTAGCTCAGAATGCCAAGATCATTTGGTTTGATTCACAAATTGATAAAAATGTATACTTTAAATTTACTGTAAGACACTTTGAAGAAAAGCATCTACGAATGAGAAAAGTGAGAAAACAGTAGTTAAGAAAGCATCTGATCAGGGATGTGGATATGCTTGCACCTGCTCTGCAATTCACCGGCATCATGTCAACAGATGAGATCATTAAAAATACAACACTGTTATGTTATTTTCCCGGCAACAAATGTCCCGAGTCCTTCACATAAAAATCAGTCTACAGGCTTTTATAGACAACCCAGGAAGTCGGGGAATGTCTAGTTTAAGTTTCATTACAAGCTGGTCACACATTGGCAATACAAAAAGCGATTAATATATGAAAATTCTTGCATATAGCTCCTTTAAGAAACATTTCTTATTTTATGATTCATTGATCAATAGAAAGCTCAAAAGAACCGAATTTCTTTTAAAATAGAAAAGTAATATAAAAGTCATTACTGTCAGTTTTGATCAATTTAATGCATCCTTGCTGAATACATTACAAATATTAATGCATTTAAAAAAGGAAGAAAACTTACTGCCCCCAAACTTTTAAACAGAATATTAGCCTATTTCACAGCAACAAATGTGGACAAATGTGACCTAGTGAGAAAAAAAAAAAAAGAATTGAAAAGCACAAAAAGCAGGACGAATCACACGGACACATAACACCACAAGCGCCAACAGCTGCATCCTGGGGAACAAAAGACCACTATGTAGACACAAATTCCCTCTGGCCACACTGCCACAAGGCATAAAACACACACACACACACACACACACACACACACACACACACACACACACACACACACACATTCATATTGTACACATAGTGGCCCATGACATACTCTAAGAGTGATCCGGTTCAGGATATTCACAACCAGCATCTAACCCCAGAGGAATCCAAAAGAAATAGTCAGATCCTTTTTAGCCCAACGTCAGTTAACTACAACTCTCCAAATATCTCTCTCTCTCTCATTCAATCAGACAATTTTAAGGGATAGTTCACCCAAAAATGAAAATTCAGTCATCATTTACTCACTCTCAAGTTGTTCCAAACTTGTATGAATTTACCTCTTCGGCTGAACACAAAAGAAGATATTTTGAAGAATGTCGGAAACCAAATAGTTGATGGATCCCATTGACTTCCATAGTATTTTTTTTCCATACTATGGAAGGCAATGGGGTCCATCAACTGTTTGGTTACCCATGTTCTTCAAAATATCTTCTTTTGTGTTCAGCAGAAGAAAGAAATTCAAACAGGTTTGGAACAACTTGAGGGTGAGTAAATAATGACAGAACTTTTGGTGAACCATCCCTTTAACTACACTTTAACTATGAAGACTAAAATAGCAGCTTCTCATTTCTCAAGTTGACAAGATGCACAATGATTTCTGAAACTGATATTTGGATCTAACCAGTCCTGACCTGAACATGTAAACCAGGCATTAAACACTTAAGAGTCTTTACCTACCGGTAATTCACAGAGGAGATTATCATGGAGCCTGGAGCTAATGAGAGGAGCTTTCTCTGTTCCTCCAGTGCTCCTTCTTTTGCTCAAACAAAACATTAGCAGATAATGTAACGGAATTAAGAAGACAAAAGATTCAAATTGTATATTGATCAGAGGAATGAGGTGGCAGCATTTCGGCTGGTTAAGCCTGTGATGAGGTGATTGATCCACAATGCTTGTCCTCACGTCTGAAGATGTCTGGCAGGCCTATAGTCTGCCTGACAAAGGCGGTGAAAAGAACCGTGAACTTGTCCGACACCAGGACACAATGTCAGAACGGTCATGTCAGTCCGCAGAACCGTATTTGAAAGGATGGCAGACATCAGATGACAAACATCAGATAACAAAGAGAGACAAATAAAACGACACAATCAATGGAAATACAGGCACTTGTATTGGCATTGGCATGTAAAAAGTCGGCATAAGCATTCAGTAATGATGTAGAATGTTCAATAAGAGTGACTCAGAGCAGTGCCGATGCCTGCTGATCTGAGAACAGCTTTAAAGATCAGAGCTGAAGGCTTGGATCCTAAAAGACAAGCACTGATCTAGCAAGACAAGGGCCGCAGGGATCAATGTAAAATCAATGTTAATTGCCAGTGTTTTTCTATGTGGCCAGATCAGAGATACAAAAAAAAAAAGGTTAAATATGCTAAACCAAAGCAACAGAAAAAGTAAAGAATGTAGTCATTAAAAAACATACTATAAGTTTCGACAGTTTCGACATCAGATTGAATGAGCCATATTCAAAACTGTCAATACACATACCTGTAACCGCAAAGCTGAAATCTATACCACACTCATGGTGCATCCATGTAGTGTTGGAATTATCTTAGTTATGTATTTCAGAAACATTTACTGTACATAAAAAAGCTCTGTTGTGACATCATGTGAAAATAAATTATTTTCGTACAAAAGATCGGGGTCTGTACGTGTTTTTTTTATGTATATATTTCTGATAAGTCACCAAGGCTGCGTTTATTTGATCAAAACTACAACAACAACAAAATATAATATTTGGAAATATTATTAACAATTTAAAATAACTGTTTTCTATTTTTATATATTTTAAAATGTAATTAATTCATGTGATGGCAAAGCTACATTTTCTGCAGTCATTACTCCAGTCTTCAGTGTCACATAATGGCACGACTGCGTAATATTTTTATGGAATATTTGACCCTTTTTTTCAGGGTTATCTAATTAATAGAAATTTCGAAACAGCATTTATTTAAAATAGAAAAATCTTTTGGAACGTCATACATGTCTCTAACATATATGACCCCAAACTTTAGAATGGTGTATATATTTTATATAACGTTTTATAACAACCCAAAGTTGTTGTAGATGTGTATGAGTTGCTTACTGTTCATGTTCTTGAAGATGTTCAGGATGGGGAGGATCTGTCTATAGTACGGGACCAGCGCCTCACCCACCATCTCTGCTGAAACAACCAGGTGCTGCAGAACCTTCAGCGTGGTGCAGATGACCTGCCTGCACCTCGTGTTGAGGGCATCTGTAGACAAACACAGACAGATGTAGAGACAGAAAGAGAAAAGTCCAAAAACACTTTGAGGTCTCTTTGAGTTCATGAGTATTTTGACAATGTGTGAATTGTTTTTGCTATTTGTTACAACCCTTACTGGGGTGTTATATTTGCACTTTTTTGCTCTCAGACTATGTCCAAAATCTGAAAAATGCTTTCTTCACTGGCTCTAAATGGAAGATAAGATATCCATTAAATTCTTTAAAAAAGCCTTCATTAGCCTTCATCCACAATCCTGTGGTTCAGTGGCAAGTGGAAAGAATGAAATAGAATTGAATTTAAAATGAAGTTCCAGTCAGATCGTGTCAGTAAGACACTGTTAGTTTGTTCGCTTCATTTTACTGCGGATTCGTTTTTAAACAAGACACCTTTGACACAGGCCTTCCAAAGGGACTGAAAATAAAAGTCGATGCAGTTTTGACTATATTGGATCTAGTCAACACACATGTGTGAGTAACAATCTTTTTTTCCCATGTCTCACTATTGCTTTGTCTGTTACAGATCATTTGAGTAGTTATACTATAGTGTTGCAGTCAAACTTAGTAGGTGTGATTTGCTGTTCTTTCCTTTGCTTTGGCATTTATCGGGTAAGCTATGCATTGGATTATCAGATATGGAAGAAAGCACATAGAGAATGCAGCTTTTGTTATTGTTTTGATCTAAGCCATTCACTGTAATCCTGAATAAAAGCTTCAGTGAACAACATCTTTGGTTTAAGACAAACCATTACATCACGTTTCATTTTATTTAAAACACGACACTGCACATGACAATGTAAATGTTTTTCACTTTATCGAAAAGGATGAACGGTGAATAGCCTATAAGAACGACAGTGCTACCAACGATGGTACATTCATTCATAATTCTGTTTACACAAAACATTGTAAGTCATCCTTTGTCAATAATAATAACTGGTAACTCCATGAACTTGAACTTTATTTGCCACAACCATGACTTATAAAGTATATGTAATACGCATAAATGTTTCATATTGTTGGCAAATGTTTCAACTATGTAATAAGATATTTTTCAACAACGTAAGTTAAAAAAATGAGGGGCAGTTGAAAATTATTTTTATATGCAAAACTGTTACCCAATTATAACAGTACGCATTTACTTCCAAGTCTTGAATGCCGCACGCCCATCAAAACAGTGTGTTTTAAAGAGAAGGTCAAAAATAGGATGTGAAAATAGCCATAACATCTAAATTAGGATGTCTTGATAACATTATAAGTGGACCTCAGAGAACATTATAAAATAATACATTATTAGACATGATGTTATGATGTAGGCCTATCTCAAGCCTGTCTGAACAAGGTTTTTATGAGGTATCTTCGTATAAAAAATAAAAAAAACTGGGGGACACTTTACCCAAAAATGAATTTATTTACACACCTTCACGTCATTTCAAGCCAAGCCTGTATGACTTTCTTCCTTCTGTGGAACATAAAAAAAAAGACTTTTGTGTTTCGCAGAATAAAGACATTTATTTTGAGTGGCAGCTGTGTGCTGTACTTTAACAATCATTTCCATTTACTTCCTGCTCTCCTATATCTGAACAGCACACTATGAAATTCTAATGACCAAACAAACACGGCAAACTGTTTTCCAGCGGTGTGACATTTGCACCGAAGGAGTGTTCAATAATTCATGATGTGTGACGCGTCTGGAGGAGTAAAGATCTGTTTCTAAATCTCTCTAAATAAAGGAACCATTAATTCCTTCTTCATATTAGGCTCTAAAAATGAATGACCTCATATACCTTTTCCTTCTCTAAATACCACAGGAGCATGACATTTAGACACTTCAGTAATTGCGTTATTTTAACTCCTGATACAAACATATCTGCAGTCATTCCTGTGAGAGAGGGGGGAAACTGTTCTCATTTATCCATCTATCTATCTATCTATCTATCTATCTATCTATCTATCTATCTATCTATCTATCTATCTATCTATCTATCTATCTATCTATCTATCTATCTATCTATCTATCTATCCATCTATCCATCCATCCATCCATCCATCCATCCATCCATCCATCCATCCATCCATCTAGTTCAAACTTCAATCAAGCAGGAGGAGGATTGTTTTATTTAATCATCCCACAAGAGCTCATTTATTTTTTGATTCTGGGCTTTGATCGGGCCAGTGCAGAACATCGACCTACTGGTTTTCACTCTCTTCAGTTTGACCTTTGCTGTATGTTGTACGGTCAGTTTTTTCTTTTTTTTCTTCTTTTTTTTTGTGAAAATTAGCTTAATTCATTCTTCTTTTCTATCCATGACCTTCTAGTGCAGGGGTTTTCAAACTTTTGTGTGTGTGTGGACCACTATTTGTAATCAAGAATTTTCGCGGACCAACTCATAATACACATAATAAAATATGTCTACACAGTCCTACCTGAATTAATCCACACCTCTAAATAGGCTAACTAGCACTAAAACTATAACTGGTCATCACATCAGTACAACAAGCTTGTTAAAGACAGTTTACTTCACACAACGGCTGCCACATATTTTTTTTATTTATTTACTCAAGCGCCCGAGGGCATAATCATGTTCATTTGAACAACAGGCTTATTTCCATTAACCTGCCCCTTGCCAGATGAATTTCGCTCCGCCTAGCTTCACTCACATCCATCTGGAACCTCTTCCATTGAGAGTGATTTCTCCAACCAACTTTATGGTTTAGCCAATCAGGACGCAGGGCGGGAGTTTCATAGATGTGACGTAGTGGAGAAGCGACCGTGAGACTGTTTTGATTCAGACAACAATGGCGGCTCGCATCGAGGAAACAAGCGTTAACATTGATGCTGTTAACATTGATTTCATCCGTGTTGTCCAATCTACCTAATATTGTTTCATTAAAAGAACATCAGAGAACGGCTCTTAAGGCTTTTGTTGGTGGAAACGATGTTATATAGATCAGTGCCTTCTCCCGACCGGATTCTTTAGCGTCACGGGTTGGCTTCGGTGTGAGTGGTTGAAATAGCACGTCGATAAAGATGACAGACAAGTGGCTTATCCAATCATATGCAAGGATTTTTGATAAGGCCCAGCCTTCTGAAACGCCATTTCAATGGATCGGTTCCAGATGGATGTGAGTGAAGCACTTGGATATAATCAGCATTTCAAAACCTTTGGCGATTTTAGGGGATTATTAACGTAACTTAAGTCCTCAAAAAGTAGGCTTGAGTTTGTCCACTAGCACATCCGCAAAACATTTCAGAAACACGAGATCAAGAAACTAACATTAACTGGAAATTAAAATAATAACAGGCCTTATTCATTCCATTTATAAACATTTCGTTTCATATAGGCCTAAACTGCCTATAAAGGCTATGCATGTGATGTGATAATGAGAACATATTTGCCTCTGCCCTATAACTTTACACATTTAATGAAAACACAGTAGGCCTAACGTTACTCCAGGTTAAAAAGAAAAGAAAGTTGGCAAAAGGAAAAGCCATTGGAGTCTATTTGCCAGCCTTTGTATTCCTCTTTGTATCGTCTGTCTAATATAGGCCTATATTAAAAACAAACAACTAAATAAATGCTCACCTAACCTGTTGCTATCCACCGATCCATGTTGTGGTTCTGACGACACTGAGCTTGAACGTCACGGCCGAGCGCCACTAGCCTATTTTAGTAATCACACAATAACTTGACATTTTAATTTACATTTTATATAAATATAGGCCTACATATTCTTTTTACTTTTTTATGGGAATTTCCTGGTAAAATGAAGGTAAAAAAATATTATTTTATATTTTATTTTGCCTTTTCACGGACCACCTGCAGTTCCCTCACTGACCACTAGCACTGCGTGCGTGCGTGCGTGCGTGTGTGTGTGTGTGTGTGTCTGTCTGTCTGTCTGTGTGTCTGTGTGTCTGTGTGTGTGTGTGTGTGTGTCTGTGTGTGTGTGTCTGTGTGTGTGTGTGTGTGTGTGTGTGTGTGTCTCTGTGTCTGTGTGTGTGTCTGTCTACCTCTACCTGTTCTGCCATCCTGCAACCCACCGTGACACATACAAAATGACAAATGTTTTAAAATTTGGTATTACATTAAAATGGCTCGTTTTGCTTTGTTGCAAAAACATTTGTGTTTCCTTTACAGTAAACAAAAAAAAAAATAACAACGGTAAGTTTAATTCCATAATTGTAACACCTTCACAACAACCCTTGGCTAACAATAAAGCATTAATGGCCAATATTGCTCTCATCATACTGTTTTCTCCTTTAAATTGCTGTTTCCTTCACATGACTTTGGCCAAACTCCAGCTTTGATATGCATTTTCAGCATTTCAAAGTTTGCTTCTTACCACCATTCCATAAACCAGATTTATTTATCTGCTGTATATATATATTCATTATTATTATTTTTAATGTTGTTTTTTATTTTTATTTTTTCGCTTCTGAATGCTTCTTATATTCTTCTTCTAATCTGTTTGGTTTCTTATGCAGATTAAGTGCATACTATGTACCAGGGACAGATTGACCACCACTCAATGATTTTGTGACTAACAAAAAAGAGTTACTTTGGACAGGAATTAGTACTAGAAAGGGAGTAGGTGTCATCTTAATGCCACTCACTCTTGATGGGTATGATGAGCTGTGGAATAACAGGCAGGACCTTACTGCCACCGTGCTCCAGCATGTCATGGATGCCCTGTCGAGCGAAGAACTCATAGGGGTGAACTGTCTCGCATAGACCATCAAAGAACAGGGGGAGGTAGTGATGGTAGTCCAGTTTTTCAATCTCCACCTGTTTAAAACACACAAACACACATGCAGGGTCAGTGTTATTCTAAGCTATGGAAGGCCAAAGGGTTTGTGTGTTTTTTAAATAACCCCTCTTTGCGTCTGTCCTTATATTAGCCTCAACAAATACTCACAGGCTTCAAGCCACATAAAGACCAGCCCCCGTTTTAGTGCCCCCAAGCATGCCGACACACATTCTGGAGGGAAGACTGGGGGGACAGCTGTTCAGGGGCTTTGGAACACTCAAACATGTGACTTCCTGTTGGATCACACGTTCGCACCTGTTCTCCTTGGGTTATGAGCATGGAAACAGACGTAAATAGACCAGGACTTTTTCCTGACCTTGAGTATTGAACATAAAGTCACACACACTGCTGTCTTTTTCTTTCTTTTCTTCTTTCTGTCACAAGTATCTGTCAAGTAGGTTTCATGATGATGTGTTCACACTGAAACAAAATTTTAAATCATTATTTTGTCTTTTTTTCTAGTAAAAATATAGCTTAAAATTACTAAAATACATAATAATTTATCTTTATCTATTATATTAGAAAAGTATATTAAAGATGCATATCTATTTTATTATGTATATTTGTTCAAAGGGAAAAAACATATATTGAGAAATGTTTTCAGAGAATATATCTTGACTTCATTTTATTTTCCATATTCTATTGGCATATTATCTTTCCTTTTTTAAGCATAAACTTCACTAAATATGTTAGATTTCTGTTTTAAACATTAAAAAAAAAAATTGTATGTATTCTTAAAAATACATTTTAAAATTGTTTAAAGATGTGATTGGGGGGAAATATATATTGATTAATTGACATTTTTTTTTTTTTTAGTGTGTTTATGATGTTTTTCTTCTATTGATTGATTTAATGATGGTATAGTTAGTAAAGTGCACGCGCGTGTGTGTGTGTGTGTGTGTCAGTCATGACTCCTTTACAACTGTTCTTTGTAATCGTAGTGTCACTGATACCAGGAGCTGTAAGGTTGAAAGTGGCCAGACCTCATCAAACCCCTCCTCAGACATCAAAGCAGCATGCACAAAGAGAAAGAGAGAGAGAGAGAGAGAGAGAGAGAGAGAGAGAGAGAGAGAGAGAGAGAGAGAGAGAGAGAGAGAGAGAGAGAGAGAGAGAGAGAGAGAGAGAGAGAGAGAGAGAGAGAGAGAGAGAGAGAGAGAGAGAGAGAGAGAGAGAGAGAGAATCATAAGCTTAGCAAGAGGGCGGATTGCTTAGAGCCAATTTACTGGCTAACCTTGACCTTTTCTGACTTGGTCAAGATCATCTTGGTGAGTCACAGCAAAATCAAGTCCAAAAGCAAATGTGCAGTGCGCTGAGATGATACTCACACAAACACACACAGAGAGAGAGAGAGCCATAGTGATTCAAAACATAAAAAGCAAGAGGAGACTCATGCAGCTAACCACAGACAGATGTCTCGCATCACTGGGGTGATGTCTGTGGGACACAATCTCTGCCTGTAGCATTAATCACTGGAACACTGTAAGTGTATGTGTGGGTGGATCAGCTTTTGCCCACATTGTGAGGAATAAATGTCCCAACATGGATATTAAACTCCAACATTGTGGGAACCAGGCAACAACGATGGCTTTACTAAATTGTATAATGAAAAACTGAACATGCAGAAGCGTTACTGTGAGGGTTAGGTTTAAGATTAGGGCAATTAACTCAGTATGAAGACAATAGCAGTCAATAAAAAGTCTCTGACATGATAGAAAAACAGAAATGTATGTTTGAGCAGATCTCCAAGGAAGTTTACAAGGCCGTGTTGAACATGAATGCACATACACCTGATGTGGGTCCTTAAGGGATATTATTATTAGTAATTTGTGTATTCAGTGCCAACACATATTCATTATAGCACAGTGTGCTGAGTCATCTTTACAAAACTCACACCCCTGCAGAGAAATACAAAAAGCCCTGCTAAAATACATTTTATGTGTCCAGCATAACACAGTATGTATAAAATATTAAGCCACAATTGCAAAGTTGCACCTTATTTTATCACTATTTTATATTTGTTCATGATTTAATTAAACATTTTTGTATTGTACAATAGCGTTTAAAAATGTGGGGTTGGTCTCTAATGCTCACCAGGGCTGCATTTATTATACAAAAAAACAAACAGTATTGGTGTGAAATATTATTACAATTTAAAATAACTGTTTTCTTTTCAAATGCAAATTATTCTCCTGTGATGGAAAGGCTGAATTTTCAGTCACATGATCCTTCAGAAATCATTCTAATACAGTAATTTGGTGATAAGAAACATTTCTTATTATTATTAAATGGCAAAAGAACAGCATTGATTTGAAATAGAATTTTTTTAATATTTAAAGAAATATTAATTTCTTTTAAAAAATCTAATGGTAGTGTAGATTACCAAGCCAAATGACAAAAGTTGTACCTTAATTATTGTATTTTATCATCATTTAATTAAATATGTATGTATATTATTTTATTTTTTGGAAAATTAATACATAAAGTTATAAAAATAGAATACACTTCCTGTCACTCAATCTCCCTCACACAGCCTCGATGTGTCATCATCATATCTTCCAGCAGAGCATACTTGATAAATTTGCCTAATAAAATGACATCTTAATCAAGTATTGAATGTTTTCTTATGATGTAGCATGTCTAACCATCTTATAAAAGCAATAATGCTCTGAAGGCTGTCCTATACTGTGTCTGCATCATGTCTATAACCTTCAGGCCTGTTTCACGAATTACAACACACAATAGCAGAGTGTTTTCAATTTACCGCACATACTAAAACATTACAGTATTCACACATGTTCACTAATTCAATAAATTCCACTTGCTGTTATTCATTTTGCTTTTCAATATCCTGTGGGGTGTGGCAAATTGAATTCAATTGAACTGAGAGAGAGACAATTCTAAAATGATGAACTGTGCTCGTTCCTGGTGTGTGAGCGCTTGTCCTTTAGAAAGATTTTGATAGCTTACGTCTGTCAAACTATTTGTGCAACATATTAAGGGCTGCCAGAGATGTTAAAGGGAAGACAAATGATTCGTCACCAGTGCAAAAACAAAGAAATATGAGAAGAGTCACACATGCCGCATCATAAACCACAGAATGATACTAAACAGCAGAATGGCTCAAAATAAACACCATTGTGCGTTTCTAATGCAATCTGTAAGATTTATTTCCAACCCATTCTTTACTATTTACACATTATCTCATTTGCTGTCTGTTCAAAAGACATGAGTGAAATGTCAAGTGGGATTTGAAGAGAGCGAGTCTGATCATAATGGGTCAGTCAGACAGAGGCCAGAGTCATATAGCAGTCACTATGGCGACAGTAAAGATTTCAGTGGCAAATAAGTGAGCACTGAAACTACAGGTGCAGGGAAATAGTCAAATATGGGAGTCAGTGAAACGTGTAAAGTGCTGGTCTCGCTGAAAGAGTTTCTGTTGAATGGTTGCAATTATGATCCTTTTGGAAGCCATTAAAACTGTATCTGCCCATGAGCAGGGCTGTTGAAAGCTCTTAATGCCTGACAGATTGGGCAGAAAGACAGGCAGGTGTGGTTTGAGCTTGTATGGCTGCAGTGGAACGGATGAGGCAGAGCTGAAACTAACTGTCGGCAGTCCAGACACGCTCTGGCATTGAGGTGAGACATAAGGCTTGATGTGAGCACCAGCAGCACATTTCTCCCAGCGTGCCGAGCACAAAGACACCTGTAGGGGTGAATGGCTATCATGAAGATGAATGACCAAACTGGCCACTTGAGTTCATACCATCACAGGCTCTCACTGTAGACAGGAGGAACTCAAGGACACTTTCTGAGTACCAGAGGACGTGTGAGATCGTAGTGAACGCAATATAGACATGAACTATACAAGAAATACTACACAAATTTCAAGTTGGACAGTCAGCCTGACACACATTATGACAGTTTGAAATTTGCCCTCCATGTGAGAAGGAGGTAAATGCTCAAAGCAATATCCTGGCTATGAGAGTGTGACCTGTGCAATTGAAATATGTCATTGCATTTCAGAGGGAGGAAAATAACTTGACATTCTCTCTTTCCCAGACTGTGGCTGTAAGATAGAGGAGTGTTTTTTCAAGCATGAGAGGAGGGGGTGTATACATTTAGAGGCTCATTCTGAAAGGAAATCAGATTTTTTTTTTTTTTTTTTTTGAGATGGTTGTGATGAAATCACCAGCTGAAATGCAGGCCATATGGAAGGACAATGGAAGAGCTGTGACAGTCACATTGTCAGTACTGTTTACATATGTAATGGATAATCCAAGGCTAGCTGTGCATTAAATGATTTTAATGCACGACGACTGCCTCCTGGTAGTAATAATAATAATAATGGTTAATTATTACCTTGAGTGATGATTTTCATTTAAATTGCTTTATAATAAAAACAATATGTATACACACATACATTATATTAATATTATATTATACAGAATGTAATGTAATATAAGTTTCTCTACCTTACTACTAAAGCTATATTCTCTGAGCAAACATGAGCAGAACAATAAACCATTAGGACATATAGGAACAAGAAAATTGTCAGGCAAGCTTTTCTGCTTCTCCGGTCACCTAAGGCAAATAAATCTAAAGCCTGTGATAATGTGCGTATCGTACAGTTGGCCTGGATAACTGTAATTCTGTGTGACTCACCCCCAGCTTTCCATCACCAAACAAAAACACTTCCTCATGTACTTAAGCTAATGTCAAGAGAGACCACCAGCACACATCAGCTCTGAAGAGCTCTAGGATGGTGATGGCTTGTAACGGCAGCGCTCCAGAGCAGACAGGCTGGAGTTGAAGCCATGAGGCTGTGAGAGGTAGGAGAGAGCTGACAGGTATTGTCAGGAAACTCAGTGAGCGGCCAGCAGACGGAGACGAGTTTGTCTCCGACGGGTTTATTGAAAAAGCTGCAGGCGCAAACAGCTTGAGCCAACACGGCTCTACAACACACACACACACTCACAAT